CATTTAATATTCCAATCCCAATCCTTAGTCTTTAAAATAAAATTTGAATCGAAGCTGTATCTATAATAATTTTTGAGCTAGATGGGTTTATGAGAAAGTTGATTTTCTGGCCTAGTCTAAACATAGTATATTTCAACTGGCCGTAAGTTATTATTCAAGAATTATATATAAATTAAAAATTACAATAAATAATTAATTTATTATATCATCAGACTCATCTATTTAATGATAATATTTTATAAATTATTATCTTGATGTTAAACATCCTTAAAATTAACAATGTCCACATTTTTTGACCCCAGAAATGACCTCCAAAATATTTCCAGCCCCCTAAATTAAAAAAAATTTAGTTAATTCATTCACCATTAACCCTAAATCTAAATGAAAAAACAAGATTCTTAGAAAAAATAGCTGTTAAAATATGAAACAACAAGGGTCATTTAAATTCAATATGACTTGATAAAAATTGTAATATAAAGGATACAGAATATCGACAAAATCGATATTATTTTAGGAATGTGCCGATACAAATTTTTTACCGATACGATCTGATCCGATATTATTAAAAACCAATCCGATGCCGATCCGATATTTATATTGATTTATATTTACCATCTATCTTTGTATCAATGTCATATTTTATACTTTAAAAAAACATCTAATTTCACGAAGGATTAAGTTAATTTATTTTTTATATTTTTCGTAAGTTAATATTCTCATTTAAAATATATGCAATATTTAAGGGTTAATATAGTGTTGTTAAATAGCTCCATTTAGCCGATTTTTAAAAAGACACATCAAAATTTTAACAAAAATATTATTACATATGCCTCGAAATTTCGCCAATAGAAGTCCAAACCTTTCTTATATCTGTGGGAAAAATCATAAACATGGGTAATTTACTCTTGGCCAAAATGGAGTTAACCATTTTTAAAATTAGCTAAATCGAGGGGTTTAGCAACACTAACTGACTCTCATTCGTTAAATATTTTAAAATCCTTTTTTTTGCAGATAAAATAACAAGGCTATATTGGTGAAGTATTATGTTACTTTTCTAATAGAACCTTTAATTCGGAAGTTTCCACTCATGATTTAGTCGAATCCATTGGTCTTTTATATGTTGGTTTTGTAATTTATGAAATATTAACAATTTATCCATTAAATAAAAATCTTCAGTCAATAGATACAAATATAGGGATGCTAAAAATTGTATTGACTCCACAATTGATATATTAAAAAATATGAGGTAAAAATTCATTCGACTTGATTAAGATTGAGGCTGAAAATCTTATATTAAGATATAATATGACCCCCGAAAAATTCTCAGGTATTCGTTAAACGTCTAAAAAAATTTTGATTATTTGGTTGATACCAAATTAAAATTTGATTGTGGAATTAATCTAGTTGAAGTTTTTTAAAATCATATTATAAAATAATTGATTATTTTATTGAAAGTTTTTTAGAAAGATTTACTGACGATGGATATAACCTTGTCTCTTCTTAATTATTTTATTGCAAATAAATGAATTCAATGCGTCCTTATTTAACCTTAATATTCAAACATTATATCATGAAATGAATATCGCATAGGGATTATGAGATGCCAAAGTAGAGATAGATATGATATTAAAAATATTATTGATATCATTGGGAACAGCTTCCTGTGAGGCCTCATTCTCTACACAAGGTTTTATCTATCATTAAGGAATTGATGAAAGATAAACGAAAACAAAATTTAGTTCTTATGGCTTATGAAAAAAAATAACCCAAAATTTAGCTTTTAATTTATTCATGTTGAAATTTAAAAATAAAAATTATCGTATTATATATTAGGCCTGTTCAAAAACGAATTCGAATCGAATAATAAAATCTACTATTTGTATTCGATTCGAATATTTCTAATAATTCTAATTAATTTGTTTAATAAAATAAATCATATTCAAATATATTGACAAATTTTTTTATTACAAATTTGATTTTAAACAGAAAAAATTATAATAATATGTAATCAATAATCTGATAATAAATAATATATAATCAAGTTATAAACAAAATTAAAATATATATTATTAATTTAATTTATTAAGCCAATTTTTAAGGCAAAGAGTTTTTCTTATATTTTCTTCCTTATATGACATGCGGTTTTTTGAATAAATTAGTTCCAACTGAGAAAAGCCTTTCACAAGCAGTTGATGTTCCTCGTATAGATACATAATCCCATCCGATATGCATTTGCCTTCCACCACATTAACGGGTCAGTATCACTCTTTACTCTTGGTTCACTCAGATAAAAATCTATTTCACACAGTTGAATATTATTTTGTTTAAAAACAATGTCTAGCCTGTTTTGTTGAATTTTTTCATTATTTGTTTGACAGTTATAATTATGAGCTTATAAAATAAAATCATATTTAAATGGGGGTAAATTAAATACCTGTATATCTATTGTAAATCTCTTTAAATTTGTCCATTAACTTGGATTCAACAGATATTGATTTAAAATATTCTACTTTAAGCCTGGGATCTAATATTGTGGTTATTATTGCATCATCGGCAGTTAAATTATAATAGCCCAACAATTTATCACATGCTACTTTGAAACTATTGTTAAAGGATTTATGGAAACCAGGTTTTTCATTTTTTAGATGTTCAAGAATTAAAATATAATAAGGTATAACCAAATTATAAGTAGGATAATTCTCCCCACATACCATATTTGTAGTTTCATATAAAGGCAATAGTATAGCTTTAATTTTTATAAGATCCTCCCATTCTTCCTATATGTTATCAAAGTATTATATTATTATCTAATTATAAATTTTAGTTTACCTCTGATATTTGTTTTTCTTGAAGAATTTTAATGTTGTTATTACTTCATTAACTAATTTTGTTATAGCAGGCTTTAACAATAAGCCCCTTTCAATCATTTGATAAGTGCTATTCCACCTTATTTCACAATCCAATTTTGGTTTTAAAAAATTTAGGGGAGGATGTAGGGAACTACATATATTTTTTAATAAATTTAATTTTTGAGGGGAATTACGAATCATTCTAATAATGTTTCTTAGTTTTAGAATTGAAAGGTCTAAAATTTTTAAAATTTCTTTGGATATTAATACATGGGCAAAGCATCGGATGTGCCCTATTTTTATTAAGGGATATTTTAAAGAAAATGTATCAATAAATGTTTTATTATTAGTTGCATTATCTAAAGTTATATAAAAAAATTTTATTCTCTAAATTATAATTTTTAATTATTTTGACAAAGACTTAAAATATATTTTCACCTGAATGTGTTTCATTTATTGGACTGACATCAAAAATTATGTTATTTATTTTAAAATTATCATCAATAAAATGGGCTGTTAGGCCTAAAAAAGGAACCTGTGTTGGGCTAGTCCAAATGTCAGATGAAAAATTAATCTGGCTTTTATTTTTAGATATTATTTCCTTTACCAATTGTTCTTTTTCTGCAAATGTATTATACATGTGCAATTTAAGAGTATTGGAGCATATTGATTTTACAGAACAATCAAGATCACTTATAAAATTTTTAAAATCATTAGAATTAATAATTTAAAAGGAATATTATGATTTATAAATAATTTTAATAAATTATCCTTAAAATTAATTTTTTTTGAAGAATTTGGTGTAGACTTTCAAAAAATGTCAATTTTATTATTTTTTTTACTAAGGTGTGAAATAATGATTAATAAGAGATGTTGTTTTGCCTTTACATTTTATAATACTCTTGCAATGATTGCAAGCAGCCTTTTCACTATATTTAAGGATTTGATATTGATCCCATATGATTGCTCTCTTTTGTGAGGAAATTTTATCATCTTCAACATCAAGCATAAATTCATCAGAAGCATTCTCCTCTAACATAATTAGGCTAGCTAACAATAATTATTGTAGAAATGTAATATATTTTTATGTACCTCTGGTTTGTGTAATTTTTAATATAATTTATTATGAGATTCAAAAAATAAACTTTTCGTGAGATTCAAAAAATGTGGCAAATAAAAATTTAAATTTTCACTTCAGAAATTTTTAAATTTGTGCTAGAATTTTTATAAACACAAACACATCACCTGTCCGATTGGCAGGTCAACAAATAGAAATGACAAATGTTAGATTTATTAAACAATTTATTAAATATTACGAATAATTCGTTTTATTCGAATCGAATAAATGATTATTCGTATTAGTAATTATTGGCCTATTATATATATTAGTGATCTCTTTCGGGCTAATTTCTCAAGCCCGGCCCGAAATTTATTTTTTTAAATTTGTCCCTGGTTCGATCCCAAACGAAATTTTGTCCCAAAGCCCGACCAAAAATAAAAATTATTTGTCGGCCCGACCCGGCCCCAATTTATTTAAATACAGAAAAATTTAATTTTTAATAAGAAATATGCAACCTTGTTTCTTGCAAGAATTTTAAATATCTCAATCATGTAATGATGTCATATTTAAAAATTTAAGCCCGGCTCGAAATTTTCTAAAAAAATATTAGGCCCCGCTCAAACCATAATTATTTTTAAAAAATAGACACGGCCCGGGTATAGGTCGGGCCGTGATTTGCAGATTTCTAATATATATTATAGTTATTTTGTAAATTGAAAATTATTTGCATCTAAAAATTTAAATTTTTCTGAGTGTCTGACTATTTGTTTTTACTTCAAAAAAATTACCCCCCCCCCCCTTCTTATTGAAAATTCCCGGCTACAGGCCTGCCTCCCTGATATCAAGTGAAAGAGATAATCACTGATTAAACATATATAGAGTTAATAAATAAACTAAAACCCTTAAATCTAATTTAAAAACTAAAAATAATGATAAAACATTACACATTTATATCTATTTATTTGAATTTCAACAGAGAATTTACAAAGGACGAATCATCCCACAACGAAAAAATGATCCAAGAAAATAGTAAAAAATTATATCGTTAGTATGAACTCTATATGAAAACTATTTTACACTTTAAGAAACATGTTACACGCCAACGTTCACGGATTACAAAGAAGAGTATAATAATATCTATTCATTTCGAAATGTATACCTATGTGCATACCTTATTTCTTAAAAAAACTACATTCCATTTATTATTGCCAAATTTTGTAATGTATATATTGATAAATAGCTCCCTACATACAGATGGTGTTCAGGAGATGTCCTTAAATATAAATAATCTTCCCCCATCTAAAAGATCTTCAGCCATATGCGAGATCCATCCAACCTACAATAGATACCACCATGAGCTGAACTATTCTTGCCGTGACTCTGAACCGATGGATCTAGCGAAATCTAGCCTTTTAGATGAGCAGAACCTCTCTTTATATCATGAAACCGTTCCGAATCAAGTTATTCCTACCCCTAATGAGTCTCAACTTCTGGACATTTCGGTGATAATGGAGGAAAATGTGATTAATCATCCCACCAAAACCTCCCAGTCGAAAATGCCGAAAACGGTTGATATCTCGGTAGACATGAGCCTCTGTAGCAGTCCCGATGAAATTCGTGATGGTGTCCATGATTTGAAACCTATAAATATTAAGGAAAGCGATCCTAACGATGATATAAATAATAAAAAGTTAACCTCCAACCTTCCGATTCAATCGATAGATATGTCCCTCGTCGAAATCTCTATATTAGGAATCAAATCTTCAGATAAAACAGATGATAGTAGTTATAATATCAAAGAAGGGGTTTCTAATAACGACATTGTCTTGGATGCCTCTTTATTTGCTAACGAACCTATTTGCATTTCAGGTTTAATACTGCAGAGTTGTTAAAGTAGCGCACTATTATGGCTCACTACTTCTTTTAGTAGTGGTACCTAATAACTTAAAAAAAATAAATAAAAATAGCAGTAGCGCGCTTCATTTAAGAAAAGTAGACAGGTGCTACTTAGCTACTTTAAAATTATATATATATATATATACTAAATTTTATTTATAATTTAATAATTAATTTTAATATTATAATCTTTAAATATAATTTTGAAATTTATATTTCAAAATCTGCTCTCTAAATTATAAATCTAATACTACATAATTTAAAATATAAAATGCAGTCAATCAATAGAGATAGACATGGGAAATTTTTTTAAGACAGATGATATCCACGTAATTTTGCTAGAAAATGATATTCTAAAATTACCTTTCCCCTCAAATTTAGATGCATGAAATAGCGAAGGACTTTTTTTAAATATGTTATTTATGGTTTTAATAAAATGATTGTCTATTTTTTAAAATTGCCACGCCTAAATTTCTGAGAGATTGGAAAATTTCTCAATAATTTTGGTGTAGTAAAAGAGGTTAAATTGATCAAATTTAATTTAAACTAAATTGATTAGTCATATAACATTAGGACCAGGTGTTTCTCAAATATTAGCATAAAGTGGTAATTTTTACAATTGATGCAGTTCAGCCAATTTCCTATTTATCAATCTGATTACATTATCACTTGTTAAAAATATCCAGCAGAAGTGATGAAAAGAATTTTGGATAATTTTCAAGAAATGAAAGAGTTTTTAATATTAGATCTATTTGAGATCTCTTACATCTTCACAAATACAGAGAGTTGGGGCTATATTTGTGTAATGACTAAATATCAACTAATTCGGATCAATCTCCAGGCCCTTGCCGGAGAAAATCCGTGAACATTAAGGTTTTTTAATTTATATTAGTTTCTTCCAAATTTGATTGCTATCTTTTTAAGAAAAACCCCCAAGCCAAAGTGATAGTTTTCGGCTAAAAACGTGGTTTAGCTTATTTTATTGGTTTAAACGGCTTACTAATCTAATTGGACACACTTGGAAATGCTAATATAGAGATTATTTTATTATTAAAAGGCAGTAAAATAAATTTACATTTTTTAGTCATATTTCTATCAATATTTTTATATGCTTGAATTTGAAATGTTAATTTTATGGACATAGATGATATATAAAAAATATAATAAATTTTTTTTATATAAAGTAACGTAAAAAGGAGCGAAAACTGCTTTTTAAAAAAGGTAGCTAATCGCACGCTACTTTTTTGAAAAATAGGTATAGCGCGCTATTTTCAAAAATAGCTTTTAACAACATTGAATATTTGTGTATAAACTTATAAAAAAATGATTGATTACATTTAATTAGGTAAATGAGGGGATAGAATTTATAAGATACGGTTTTAATAACTCAAACAAACCTGAAAATTTATCATAAAAGGACAATATAAAAAAGCTATTTATTTTTAAAATTCCAATTTTACATATTATTTATTTGACTCTTTTTATGTTAATCCTTCTATACCTTAAAACAATCAGCATTATAAAAAATAAAATATATTAATACACAATGCTGTTAACATTTCTCAAGAAACTATAAATTCTTATATGGTTGCTGATTTGCGGTCTTATTAGGATCTACGAAACCCAGCTTGTTTCGGTCCTTTAAGATTTTTTGCATAAGTTTCCCAGCTCTTATTTAAATGTTTTGTCTGGCCCATCTGAGATTTTTTTAAAATTGCATTCTCCGCCCTTTCGTAAAATTTATGAAAAGCTAGGTTCAGCCTGGCCTTTAAAAATTTTAAAAAAATCCGGCCCAGGCCTTTATTTGTAATTGTATCTTAACAAAAAATAACTTATTTTAATTTTTTTTATGAATTTACTCATATTTATAGATTTTGTATTTTAGTTTAACAGCTCTTAAAATACAAAGAATATTGTAATTTATTAAAATATTAGTTTGAAATTCAGAAAAAAAATATATTTAAATTTTAATGCCAGAACTGGTTCATTAAAATTTTACAAATCAGATAATTTCGAGGTGGTCCTACCCGCCCGTTAAATTTTTCCCCGGTCTGGCTGAGAATCCGGGCTTTGCAGATATCTAAAAATAATTATTTTTTCCATTCGTAAAAAATCTCGAAAAGACAGTGAAAAAACAAGAAGATAATTAAATTTATAAAATTGATTTCAATTTTAATTTGATAAACTCAAGTTGAAAAAAATGAGCGAGTTATAAAATGATTGGGGTTTTTTCCAGTTAAGAATAATTTTATCTGACTCAATTCCTTTTTTAAAGATTGAATTTAAGATCTTTCCAATTAGTAAAACCACCTCTTAGCATATGTGAAAGAGAACAAAACCAATGATTTTCCCTTATCCCTATTTTATTTTCATTTATATCGAGATCTTCTTCACTCGATCCTAACCTGGATAAAATATCAGGCAAGCAATTTTCTTTACCTCTACGTATCTAAATTCCACATTAAAACTTCCCACTAATAACAACCAACGTTGTAATCGTGCAGATAACATTAATTCTCGATTATCTTTTTTAAATAAATGAATTAATTATTTATGATTGGTATCAGAGTTGTTAAAGTATCTAGATATAAAAATGTGGTATCTGTATCTAGATAAATTTTTAATTTAAGTATCTGTATCTAGATTTTATTTTAGACGTATCCGTATCTATTTTAGATACTTTTTAAGATACATTTATTTAACGCTTTTTTATATTATAAATAAAAATACTTAAATGCAAAATTTATTTTATTTCAAATGAGCATATAATTTAAATATATATATTAAAAAATATTAAGACTACTATAATAAAAAATTATATATATAAAATATTAAAACTTTTTATATATAAAAATATATATATGTATATATTCATTAAATATTATATGTGAGTTTATCAACAAACCAGGCAATACTTGATATAACAATGCAACTCAAGGAATCGGAATTGATTAATTTTATTTTATTATACTAATTTAAAAAATTTTTTTTATATTAATATTAATAATGATGAAGAGGAAGGAGTAATAATCAATGAAGCATCAACAAGTTGATACATTGTTTATGGCCTATTTATAGAGAATATTTTAAAATAATATCTCAAAATAAAGAAAACAGATCTCTGATAGTAAAATGTTTACCATGTCTATATCTACAAAAGAATACGAAAATTCCAGTTACCATTACCTCAACTTGCAATATTGTAAAATATTTAAGGGTATATACTAAATAAATGTTTACAATTGCAATTTAAATTTTAAGAGAAAAACCAGACACTGTTAATGAAAAAAACAATTAATACAAAGAATAGTTGATGAATTGTCAAGGTCTTCAACTGATTGCAAACAACTAACCTGTGAAAAAAACAAATAATTTAATATCCGATTTTTTTAATAGTTAATAATAATTTCAATTTTAATACTCAACAAATTTTAAATAATTTTTTCGAAAATGAATGTCGAGACTTTATTTTTAAAGAATGTCCTAATATAAAATTGTTATTCATAAAATATAACACCACAATCCCTTCAAGCACCCTGGAAGAAAGACTTTTTAGTTTAGCTAAAAATGTCTTTACAGATAAACGAGGATGCCAAATTTTGAAAATATTTTATTACTGCAATCTAATAATTATTTTAATCATTTAATCATATATTATATTAAAATCTAAAAATCATTATTTTACTTATATTTTGATAAATGTGATATCTAGTCAATAAGTTTTTAGCTCATTTCATACATTTACATAATAGAATCCTAATTAAGGTTTATGCAAAGCTTATATAAGAGTATTAAAAAATGTATCAATATCTAGATACATTTTAAAAATGGTATCTATATCAAGATAACTTTTTAGACGATGTATCTGGAACTAGATCAGTTTTTAGACGATGTATCTTTATCTAGATCTATTTAAAAAGTATCTTTTAACAATTCTGATTGGTATAAATTACAAATTTTTTTTCTATTTATTTATGACATTTGGTTAACCCTTTAACGTCTCATGATTTGTTTTGACATCATATAATATAATTATATTTTATAAAAGCCTATAGATTTAATTTAACATCATATGATATAAATATAATAAAAATACTTTCGCATATTCTTAAAATTAATAACGTATATTTTTTTATTTTTAAATTTGAACCAATTATATTTTCATAATTTTTTTTTTCCATTTTATTGAATTTTACGATTTTATAAAGACAATAAAACATATTCTGTGGAAAATATATATTATTCCTAAAATTCTTATTAATCATTAAAGGTAAGCGTATAATATTATAATCAATTATTTTATTAAAAATTATGCTCTTTTTTATATCAACTCAAAGTTCATGATGCCAAAATAAGTCAATGGGATTTTAGAATACAACTTTTAAATATTTTTTTTCGTTTTATATTTATAATGGTTTTCTATAGTTATATTAAATTTTACCATAAAATGTATTCTAAATCCAATCAGACCATACATTTTTGAATTTGGCGTTCATAAGACCTATATCTTCTGACTTATATTATAATTTTACATTTATTATATTTTTTAAAATGATTCTATATAATTTATAGATGCCAAATAATTTATTAATAGTGGAGGGATATATTTCGGAAGCTGATATCGATGAATCAGATCATAAGGAATTTAATTTGCATACTCTCTACAATGATTCCCCTTCAATTTCATCAACTCCAATATCTAATAATCTTCAAATCGAGATAGAGGATAGAGAAATTAATGATAACATTATCATTCAAAATAATATGAAATGGAGAGTAGGTTATATACATCAATTGGACACAAATTATGCTAATAAATTTTCCACTTCAACCAATATATTAACTCCGTATCAATACTTCAAATTATTTATTTCAAATAATATACTAAATAATATATGTGAACAAAGTAATTTATACAGTTTTCAGCAAATAAATCGATCGCTAAATCTAGATATAAATGAATTAGAACAATTTATAGGTATATATCTTTTTTCTTCTTTGGTCAAAGTTCCTTCATATAGACAGTATTGGTCTGCAGAATTAACGTTCCCTCAGGTTCCGGAAACTATGTCTCGAACCAGGTTCCAAATATTGCGAAATTATTTCATTTTAATGATAATTCTCAACTTATCCCAAGAAATCAGGATGGATATGATAAATGTTTTAAAATAGGCCATTTATTAAAGAGATTCAAAATAATATGCAAAAATTAGAGATGGAGGAAAGAGTATGTGTTGATGAATTAATCATCCCGTTCAAAGGGCGGAGTTCTTTAAAACATTATATAAAATCGAAGCCTCACAAATGGGGTATCAAAATTTTTGCATTAGCTGGATCCTCCGGTATTGTATATGATTTTAAGATTTATGCGGGAAAGCAAACTAATCCAACACCCTCAGAATTAGGGATAAGTGGTGATATAGTCCTCCAATTGGCTAAAAATATCCCGAAATTTCAAAATCATAAACTCTTTTGCGATAATTATTTTTCTTCAATAGCATTGGCTAAAAAATTAAAAGAAAAAGGTATATTTATGGTAGGGACTATTAGAAGTAATCGTTTGAAAGATTGCCAGTTAAAATGCGACAAAGACTTAAAAAAAGAAGGTTGTGGGAGCTATGTATATAAAGTTGATAAAAATGAAAATATAATAATTGTCAAATGGTATGACAATAAATTTGTGCACATCATCTCAACATTTGTCGGTGTTCATCCGGTAGTAAATGTAAAAAGATGGTCACTGAGTAACAAAGAATGTATTGAAGTTCCAAGACCAAATGTATTAAAAATATATAATGAAGGTATGTGAGGAGTCGATTTACACAATATGCTTGTTGAATGCTATAGAGTAGATATCAAAGGAAAAAGATTCTACTTAAGAATTATTTTTCATCTCATAGATATGTGTGTAGTAAATTCATGGCTTTTGTATAAACGGCAAATATGCCATGAAAAGGAGAATAAAATCATAAAACTTATACAATTTAAAACACATATTGTTAAAGCATTGTTTTCGGCAGGAAAAACTAGTAAAAGAAAATCAGGGAGGCCTTTAAAAACCGATTAAAAAAAATTTCTTCTATAATGGCTCCTATATCTGATATCAGATATGATAACATAGGTCATTGGCCAGATTCCTGCAAAACTAGGCAAAGGTGCAAGTTATGCATAAATGCATACTCAAGAACAAAATGTGGAAAATGTAATATATATATTTATGTTTTAATCAATTTAGAAATTGTTTTCGACATATTAATAAATAAATATTTTTATTTTTTTATTACACAAAAGCCTGATGATTTGATTTGGCATCATCATTTTTTTTAACTGTATATTTAAAAATAAAAGTTGAAATAAATATTAGGCATCTATGAAGTGTATAAATGAATAATTTATAAAAAAAATTTTTTTTTTAATTAATAAAAAGTTGGGCGTCAAAGGGTTAAACCAAAAATAACCGCAATATCGCGTTTCCACTTCTCGAAACACTCTAGAATAAAATATAATTGGTCTTTCCAAACCATGAATTAAATGTAATAATGCACCTCCAACACCTTTGTTCGACCCATCAGCAGCCAATATTATTTCTAAATCATTGTTAAAACACACCAAAATAGGTTGTTCCCCAATTTTCTGTTTTAACATTTCAAATGCAATTTGTTGTTCACTGGCCCATTCACTTTCTCTCTTTTTTGCAATAATTTATATAAAGGTACTGCAATCCTTGCAAAATCATCCAAAATCTATGATAATAATTTATTATACCCAAAAATGATTGAACATCCACTTTATTTGTTGGCGGCTTCATATTAGATATATTTTTCAAATTTTTATCCAGAGGTTTCACATCCATTCCATTAATGAGATGACTAAAATAGATAGCTTCTGTTACCCCAAGAACACTCTTTTCTTTGCTGGCAGACCTTTATCACAAATTCTTTTGAAAACTTCTTCCAAACGTTGATTATGTGGCTCCGGTGTTACACCCATAATCAACACATCATCCATATAATAAAAAACTCATAAGCCCTGGAAAACTGATGCCATACTACACTGATTCACTTAATCAAACAAAAAGTAAATAATCCTTTAGGAGTCGTTATAGTAAAAACAATTTACTTATTTCTTCCTTTAAAGATTACTGTAAATATACAGAAGTAAAATAAACTTTGAAAAATATTTTGCACCTTTTAAATTGGCCAAAATTTCCTTGATTCTAGGCTATCAATATTTTACTTCCACAACCTCTGGATTTAAAGTTACGGAAGTCAGCATACAGCCTCATCCATTTGATTTTTTTTATTGGAACCAATGGAGTGGCCCATTCGATATATTCAATCGGAATAATAATCCCATCATTCACCTATTTGTCTATTTCATAATCTATTTTTTTTCTCCATTCAAAAGGAACTCATCGACATGCGAAACTGAGTGAAAAACCTTCTTTAAGTTTTACGTCTCATTTAGACGTCGTAACTTTTCTTCAAAATTATGCCATATTTTTTAACTAAAATAGGTATATAGCATTATTAACTTTATTTAATTCACTAATTTCAAAATTTATCATTTGATCTTTATTAATTTCACTATTGATCTTAGAGCTACTCGACTCTATCATTAATTTTTCGGGATATTCAAGAATATGATTATTAACGACAAACCTTTTCTTCGTTCAATAAATTAAACATTTCTCTTTCTCGAATTTTATTTCGGAAGCTATCCGCAATTATTTTTCTTTCAGTATTATCAGCAGCCAATTCGCTATCAATGATAAAAAAAATCCCAATAATTATTACTAAGTCCGATTTTAGTAATCCAATCCCACCCCATAATAGTTTCTACATTTTTCTACTATCCATAAATCCAAACTTATGGTAGTATCATAAAAATAGCATTCCATCTGGTTTAACCCAAAACTTTAATATCAGAAATCAAATTGTTTCACACACATATTTTCTTTTTCAAAAATGCCATTCGGCTAATTATAAAAAATTTCCCTAGACTTTATAGAAATGCTAGCACCCGTATCAAATAACTTATCAATGTACATATGATCAATCCTCCATTAAATCCGAGGACACGAACATTGTTCATTCAATTTTTCAGTCATTATAAAATTTCATATGTTTTAATCGGCTGATTAATATATTTTCTCTCTGAAATATCAATTTCATTAGAATCTAAATTCGTGCATAAATTCAACTCGGGATTTAGAGGATATTTAACAATATTGATATATTTTTTACAATACCCCTGGGATATGCTTCCCATTTAAAATTATTATAACACCTTTTATTCGGATTATAATAATTTAACATTTTTCATGTTATCACCGTGATAATTTTATCATAATCACTCCCTTTATGGGATTTATATTTCATTTTACCATTTACAACAAGATTTTTTTAACACATTGCATTTATTAAAAAGAATTTTATTACGATATCTCGGTTTTCGACCTTTACATGATTACATCGACAATCATAAAGTCAGTTTTTATTATTTGACATTTTGGCACAATTCATGGCCACATGTCCTGATTTTTTACACTTAAAACACAAACGCGAATCATCATAATCTGATTGTAACGCTTCGAATTTATTCATGTTAATACCAGAAATTTTTCTCACATAAGAATTTCCTAATACTGATTTTCTCAACGGAAAACCCACACAAAAATTTTGCTGCTTTAACATACAGGTTTCAGCCTTGTATCCCTTATAACCAACGGTTAGATATAACATTATCCAAATTTTCTGTCCCTTGATAAACCATTTTTTTCATTCGGACCATTTTTGCCACATAACTGATTTAACTGATTATTATTCACATTAATCAATTTACATACATTCTAGTATATAACCTTGATTACATCTTTCATTTCTTTTAATTCCTGGATGATTACCACCGATCTCTCCACACATTCCGGACAATCACAGATTATCCTTTAAATTTTTAACCACTTCTGGTTCATCATTCTTGATTTCATTTAAAACTACTTTTATAACTTTTCAAGTCCAATATTCTTTTCAAATAATTATCTGATGCCACAGCATTTTTCTTCAATTCACTCGATACCTTTGTCAATATATAGGTATTATAATTTCTTTTACATTTATTTATCAAATTTTTTAACACTATGAATACTAAATATATCACTAAAAATAACAATATCGTAAATAAATGACCAATTAAATCAAACCCATTAAGCTCTTTATTAAAAAATGAATAATTTCCTGCAAAATAAGATGATTGTATGCTAAAGAAAAATTTGTAGTAGAATATTAGTAGGTTATATTTTCCGTCAAGATTGTAGTTTAGTTGTAAAAATTTTAAAAAAACAGAAAAGGTATGTTTTTTTCCATTAATTTTTTCCTGAAAAACTGTTTTTTAAAAAACATTTTCTTTAAAGATATCAGTTCGATTTGAATGGCACATAAACAGGTTAGCATTCTTTTAAATTCAATATATCCCTATACAAAAAACTTTTAAAGGTGCCACGTATACTGAAACTCGAGCTATTCTTCCCTTGCAAAATAGCAATAATGATAAAACCGAGATTGAAGACGAGGAAAAAGATTTGGTCCCCAAATTAAAATCCATTCTCAAAACTAGGATAACGAACGAAAAAGTTAAAAATAATATATAGTATTTTCTTTCCCCTGGTCAAATTTAGTATCCCAATCTCTAAGTTTTAGTGGATAAAAATAAAAAATTTTTTTTAGATTTATGAAGAAGTAATGATCATTTTTGGGTATTAGGTCACCTGTAGCGGTGAAAACGGAAAATATAAGTAGATGTAAATACCTACCGACATCGTGAGTATTGGTGTCAGTGTATCTTTCTCAAATCAATATATAAAGGAACACGCGCAATTCTTTATATATGAAACGGCATCGATTATCACCGTTTTAAGAATCGCACTATCCTATTCCATTATATTATATATAATCTTTTCTATCTATTTGAAATTGAGACGAGAAAAAATATTAAGTGAGAGGCAAGAAGGGATTTTCCACCCCCACAATTGTAAAATCTTCAACTGTACATTCTCACAATTCCAAAAGAAATAAGAAATCAAGCGTACTTTAAGAATTTTTAAAAAAATATATTTCTTTCCCAAAGGTGTCATTTTAAAAAAAAGATAATTTGTTAAATATAAAATAAGATGGTCAATAAAAAAAAATCGTAGAATCGGATGGTATCAACGTTTATAAAGATGTTTAGGAATCGATATTCTAAATTTTATTTTGAAACACCAATTATAACCCTATTTTTGATACAGATTCTGTTTGAAAATTATTAGTTGTAACGCTTTTCAATTACGCTGATTGCCGCAATAGTTTCAACTAATGACTACTTTTCCACGATCACTTTAAAATTGCCTAAATAATTTTTATTTGAAATTTTTTAAAATAAATATGGTTTCTTTTGTAACCTTTTTTTAAACCTCAGATTATTTTTTGATAAAATATGGGGGCTTTTTTTAAATAAAACGTTTTTTAAAAATAATATAAAAATGATTATAAATGATTCTGTCTAAAAAAGTTCTTCAAAAAGGAAATTAATTTTTTTTATAAAATCAATTTTCGAATCGAATAATATATTCATATATTTCAATAAATGTAATTGCTATAGAACGTCAAATCGATATTATTTAAAATTTAATATCAGATCATAATTCGCAACCCTTTCGATGATCAAATCCCATCCTCGATTCGAAAACGGAAAGACACCGAATATTTATATTCGGAAACCGCTGACACCAAATACAGCCAGGCCAAAAAAAGCGTGCTCACACCTCTCACCTTGCACAATTCGTCTACAACCGTTAATATGGATCTATCTGACACTGAGTTATTGAACGAAGTGAACATGACTCATTTGATCCTCAATGAGACGGTTACTTGTACAAATCTTCATGATAGTTGCAATCTCAATAATGATAACCAACTTATGCGAGACATAACATATACTGTGACTGTGACTAACACTGAGAATAAATTGATTGAGACTGCCAATAACGATGCATTATTATTACGAAAGGAAATGAAAGTTGATGAGAACAATTTGGCAACTACTTTCAACATTTCCCTGGATTTATCCGTTGATACGGCCTGTAATACCGCGTTTTTGGATGATAATTTCAGTAGTGACAGTTCAAGTAATATATTATTGCATTTCATTTGTCAAATATATTAATTGTATATGTTGTATTCCATATTAAATCAACCAAAAAAAGTCGATTCTCAACCCCACCCCCTTCGATTTTTTTAAAAATTTGCATGTTGGTAGCATATACACTAACTATGTAAAATTTTACTTTTCAAATCGCCTTACTTCATGAGATATGGCCATCTTTAGAAATGCGGAAATTACAAAATACACTATATTTAATTTTAAATATCTCAAAAAGTAATCAAGCTAAAGACATAATTTAATTTTATTAAATAGCTCTAGAATAGCTCTTTATTATGATATAAAATTTATTTTATTGAAAAAAATATTACCAAAAACCGGAAATGGTTCTAAAATAAAAATTGCTCTTTTTTTTCTTTTAAATTTTTTTTACAGATAGACATTATACTTCTTAATATTTGTACAAAATCCTAGATTGGGACGAGTACTGGGCCAAAAGTTATGCAGATCACTAGTAGCCATTGTGTCATATTTAGCACATAAATTTAGCTATTTTATTTTAAAAGGATAATAATTGTAAAAATATTTATAACTTTATTTAGCTAATTAATGAGAAATAAATATTCTAATAAACATATTAATTAAATAATATCATACATTAAATAATCTCTTTTGCACTTGGTTCTTTTTTTCCATTAACTTTCATTGATATAAAATTATTCATACCTGGCATAAGTCTGCTGTTTTCATCAGAATTATAAAATTCTATTACTTTATTTGCAACGTCATTCGGAATTATTCTACTTGGTTTTATGATATTTGGGTTTGACAGAACACCCTTTTCTTCAACTAATTGTTTAGCTAACCGAACCATAAAATTTGTGGTTGATAATTCCTTTTCAATTTTATCAATGGTAAAACTGTTAAAATTTGTATTTTTTCATTGCGAGAACTTGTAACAAATTTTTCTTTCAGTTGATATATCATTTTGGCTTCAATTTTTTTCTTGATTCTCTAGATCTGAATTTTCAAAAATTTATTTACAGGATATTTTTTTTCATTTAACCTTTTCTTTTTAATAGGTGTCTCCCCTAAAAATGGCAAAGTTTCATTTAAAGTTGAAATTGAAGTATTGAAATCTGTATAAAATTCGGGATTATTGCATGGTTGATCAGGTTCAGAATCGCTAAATGTTTCATTAATAGTTGAGGTAGAAAGTAAGTTAGAAATAGAAGGTAATGTGATAGGGATCGTAGAAGTAAAAGGTAAGATGAGATTTGTTGAATATTTTTAAAATTTTTCAAAAACTACAAATTTTTTTATTAATTGATAAGCTAGAATTTAATAATTTAATTATCTGGCAATGAAAAATAAACTTCATCATTCACTAGCAGAGTTGCCAGGTCAATAAATCTTTAAGAAGAAATTTGGGACGAATATAATTTTTAGGTTGGGGTGAAGAGATTATTGAGCTCACTTTTTATTATCATAGTTGTTACTTTATTAATTTTTACAAAATCTTATTATTTATTCCTTATTATGCTTCCAATAAAGCATTTTGCGTTATATTTATTTAAAATAATACAATACAATTTGGTAAATGTTGTTTTGAGTTTTTTAACATTTAAAAAATGCAACATATTCAGATTTTTTAGGATTTTAGTTTTAATGCAATTATTCACATATATTGCCCACTTTTTTAAAACATTAATTACTTTATATTTAGTATAATATAGGATTTAAGCCATACTACTTATATTTAAAGTGTAATAACTATTGACCCAGTACTCGTCCCAATCTAGGGTACAAATATTAAGAAGTATAATATCTATCTGTAAAATAAATTTAAAAGAAAAAAAGATCAATTTTTATTTTATAGCCATTTCCGGTTGTCTATTTCCGGTTTTTGGTAACAATAAAATAAATTTTATGCTATATTAAAGAGCTATTCTAGAGCTATTTAACAAAATTTAAATCATGTCTTTAGCTTAATTAATTTTTGAGATATTTAAAATTAAATATAGTGTATGGAATTTCAGCGTTTCTAAAGATAGCCATATGAAGTAAGCTGAGTTGAGAATTAAAATTTTATATTTTTACTAGTTAGTGTATATACTACCATCATACAAATTTTAAAAAAAATCGAAGGAGGTGGAGTTGAATCTTCAGTTGATTTGATATGGTATACAATACAACTTATATAACCATTATTTTTAAGTTCGACGCATAAAATAGCGTTTATATAATGACGATGTTAAATCTGAGCACTCATTCATTAATTTAAGCAATATTCGCAGTTTTTCATAAATATTTAATTATCCATTGTTTAAAAAATAATGTACTAACCCTAGCCCATATCACTACACCCCTTAGCCAATATCACTACACCCTTTTAACTTAACAAAACATTAACCTCGCCCAAGAGGTTAGTTCTAGAAGTAGAAATTCGGGCCAAATTTGGATTTGAACTAGATAACATATGCATGTCAAACTCACTGTTTACCCTCTGAACTTCCGTACCACTTGAAAAATATCAACTTTTTTTGTAAATATAATAATTTTTGCTAGTTTTTTTCCCAATAAAATTTGATGTAAAAATAGTATATTTTAAATTTTATTTTACCTTTATCAAATAAATACATGCGGCATCAATTTTATAACTATCATTCCTAAAGTGAAACATGAGTAACCTTCAAATTTATAAATATTTTGGCAAATAAAGTCATTATTTGCAAACGAAAGATTCCCTGACATCTTACAATTGCGCAATCAGGAAATATTTTTGAATCAATAAAAACTACAAACAGTTTATTTTTAAGTTTTAAAAATTGAATATAAAATATGTCATGAATATAGTGCTTTAGTATTATGAAAAAATGTAATATTAAAAAATCTTTTATTTGATCACTTCTTTAAAGTAACAAGCTAATAAATCGCTCTTGAGTTGTCATCTTTATGGTGATTCCGTTATATATACAAAATAATAAAAAACCAATCCCAACTTTTCACATATAAACATTTTAGTATTATTTAGGAAAGCACATTTTTTTACTGTGAGTAGGGAGGAATGTGTTCAATTCAGAAGGATTTGCCTAATTTTTAATTTTAGAATTTGGATTCGTCTAATCTTAAAATCCTAAATTTTTAGTAACCCTAATGGCCAGTTCAGCCTAAAATTCGGATGGATATATTATTATTTATTTGTCTCATTCATTTCATTTTCATGCATTTAAAAAAATATATTATGATTATCAGATGGTTTAAAAGGATTTGTTAATAAACAAAAAAATATCAAAATTGTAAATTATTATATTTAATTAGGGTGCTACCATTAAAACACAGAAATTTATTGATAGTTTATAAAAATGAATAAATTTGCAATAAAATTGGTAGCTTATATTTATAAGAATTGTAGTAATTTTAAAAAAACATTTCATTTATTTTATTTCCCCAAACGGTTTTTTCATCGTTACTTCTATCAAATTATATTTAAGCAGAAAGAATTTTTTTCATAGTCGAGTGAACACTTTTTCCTATACATTAACTTGGGTAGCTGGCATAGTGCTATCGAAAACTTTGATTTAGCGCTTTTTAACAAACGACTAGATCTTTTAGCCAAATATATAGGGCATTCTGCTATCTATATGCTCTAAGCTTGGGTAGATGACACCGTCAATTAACTAAAGTAATATCTAAAATGATGACTGATAATAATATCTTTTTAGATGTTCAGGTTCGGATGACAAATTTTTTTGACTGTTTTGGTTTAGTAAATAATAAATGTTAATACTTATTTAAAGGTTGGCTTTGGGCACCCGATTATATTCTTTTTTTTAATGTTTAAATTGAATAAAACTATATTTCGATGTTTTATTATAAAATAACTTAATATGTTTTGTAAAGGTTTCGAGAAAAACGAAAAAAAAATTATGGATTTGTGTAGCCAGAAAGTCGTTGTGGCTAAAATTTCACCTTGCCAACAAGTTTTACCTCCACAAGCTATCACAGAACGAATATCTTGGAAAGATATCGAATCAAAATATTACGATGCCGAATCTGTAAATCGATTCATCCAAAATTTCGAGTCCCCTAGTACCACGTTGAAACAATACTTTGACGTAAAAAGATAGCTCTAAATATCATTACAAATCTAATTTTTGCATTCTTCTTTCACCCTATATTATTTTTGTACAAAAAAAATATATTCTCATCATTGTTGCAGGATATCAGTTTAGGATTGGTGCATTTTTTATATCCTTTTATTCCTTTTTGATATGATCTCTTCATTAATGAGTATACGACAATTAGAATAGCATTTTGCTTTGCACCTAAATTTTAAATGATACATTACCAGGTAAAAGTAAGTTACTATCATTAATACAAATAGTTGAATAGTAAAAAGGTGGATATGCATACAGCTTACTTGATCATTCATCCATTTTTCTTTATTTCATTCTTTATGTTATTATTATCGACAGATTGATATTTGAGTATTATAAAGTTTTTGAAATGATTGCATAATCTGACTCATTTAAAATGGAAATCAAAATTTTTGTTATATAAAAATTTATTTGAATGATTAATGGACATTCAATAATATTTTTTTTACAAAGCAAGCAAGCACTATATAAATGGAAACAATTTATAAGATTATATTAATTATTATATAAAAAATAGACAGGCCTAGTCAATTTTTTTAAAAAGAGATGATTAGTTTTTTTATGTCATCTCAATAAGTAATAAAAGGGACACGTATCATATTAAAATTTAAGAATTTCGGTATAGGTTACTGCCAGTAAAATGGTGTCGGTCCGATTTTTAATCAATATTATAACTTATAATTTTAATTATTCCAGTTAAAATTTCGTCCAAATTTATGCTTAATAGTGAAAACAAATTGAGCCTTTGCGTTTTGCCTTACGTTTTTAATTTAAAAAACGCAACGCATCTTATGTTTAAATGGAGACGGCATTTTAATTTAATAAACAAAATTAAATATTTAAGTTTTACAACAAAAATATGCTTGCCATATATTTATTAAAAAGAAATAGATCCAGGAAACGGGGAAAACACCTGAAATAATTATTTCTCTGAATATGTTAAGGAGATCTTATTGCTTTGCAATTTTTTATTTACATCATAATGAAGAGATCGACCTTCTCTTATATTCTTGGTTTGATTTTTAAAGATATCCTAAATTGCAATAAACAAATTGATGGAAAGGATCATTATTGAACGTTTTAAACGCTATGTTACATACGCAAATAATGCATTTCACATGGTAACGCTTTCGTGCAAATTTGTCAAATTACCCTTTAGCCCTTATAAACATTTAAACAAAACACAATTCGGTTTCCTTATTTTAAAAAATACCCATGTAGAATATAGCCTTAATACATCAAGTTTAAAGAAATATTATTGATCATTGTCAATCGAGATAAAATTTAAATATGCTTAGATTATTATAAATTTTACTGATTTTCACATGGCTCCATCTCCATAATAGACATCAATTTATCCTCAAAATTCTAAACAATAGCATTAAAACTAGTGTTGTTAAACGGCTCGTTTTTAGCAGATAAACGGCTAACTCAATATTTTATCCAGAAAAATATTACGCAAGCCTGAAAATTTTGCTCAGGCCGTTTTGAAAAATCGGCTCAAAACGAGCCGTTTAACAACATTAATGAAAACTATCTGTAATTGATCTGTCTATTATAGTAGGTTCCATCAATCATATATGTTCAAGCCATTTGTATAATGTTTTTAATTCTCGATTCTGATGGTTTGCCTGGCTTAATTTTATTAAGCTGGTCTTCATAATTCTTCAATTTTTACCTTAAACTTTCTGAGCTAGTGTGATAATTAGGAATTTTATATTTAAGCTTTTTTAAATGGAATAATTTAATATTCCTTTATATTTATATCTTGATCCAATAGTAGCTAGATGCTCAAATATAATAAACTTTTTTGAAGATATGGATAGATATGATTCCAAATCATTTCGTTAGGCTTAAAACTATTAAAATTTTTTAGTCATAGCTTTATCTTGTGGCCTATAAATATAAAGATATCAATTAATATAAATTGTTCATACATTTTCGTACTACTATCCATTTTTGAATTCAAAAAAAGTAAAAAAGCAAACTAGATTTCATTTTTATAAATGTTTATAAGCACAAAACGGAAATGTGATTGCATGATACCATTTGAAATGCAGCAAAACGCAAACGCTCAAATTGTTTCCACTATAAATTAAAAAGTTGTACTTTTTTCACAATATATATTTTTTAAAAAAATCATTTTAACACTTAGGAATGGATATCTTCCTTGGAGATCGACTCTGATAGCATTGAATTTAATGCAATTGAAATAGAACACAAAGCATCGATCACTGATATCTATCAAAATTACCCAGCCCTATTGCGGGAGTTTGTTGAAGATAAATGCCAGTAACAACTGAAAAAAAAATTATTTATGTTTTTTAAAAGAAATTATATAACGGATGATTATTATTACAATATTACTATCAGGTATTAGTTAGATAATTGCTTTATTATTAGTCAGCTAAAAAACTGAAACTGTTAAGCCTAAAAAAAATTAAAACTTCGGATTTTTTTAAAAATATAGCTCGAATTTGAAGAAAGCAGTAATATATTAATTCGCTCCTCAATACTTATAGTTTTTTTCATCACGCACATGTAGTTAAGTGAAATTACTCAGTTTTTAACCATTTCTCAACTATACTACCAGGGGGAATAAAAATAAATAATTTAAAATAAACCCTCACAGTTATAAATTTATAAAATACAGCATATTTTGTTTACTACCTTGTGAATGTAGGGCAAACCCTCATCGAATTGCGGTGGAGATTACAAAAATACAGCATATTTTGTAAAATCGCCGCGAAATCGTGCTAATTATGAATTAGGGGTTTTTAAAATCATTATCTTGTTTAAGATATAAATATCCGCCATACTATCTAACCCAGGTTACTTAAATATTTATTTTATATTTAATAATCGTTTTCCTTTTTTTCGTTTGTTTAAATGCATAAATTCTCCTTTCATCTTGCTTTCTCCATTTTTTATAAAATTGCTTTATTATTCACCCAGAACCTACCTTAATCAAAAAGGCGTTCCCGATCATTCTGAAGTTCTAGATGAGTTATTGGTTCAACCCGATTCTGTACCTACGATTTGCAAGCAAACGGAGAAATCGGTCGAAACATTTTTCAATAAAATCAAATTGGAATTTTTGAAATCGTTTCAATCTATGATAGAGGTTTGTTTGTTGTTTTTTTTAGAAAATTTAAACATTTTATCTACTATCTAAGAATATCAGATTGAAAGGAGTTTAAAAGCAGAACTATCAACCGGGACAATTTAGAAACTTGTGATCTCCTCTCCCGAAAATTTAAAGGAAACCAGGAACTCATTTTTTTAAATTTCCTGAAACTTTATTTGTATATTATTCAAAATTTCGTATAATTCTTTTGGGAGGGTTTATTTGCTGTTATAAATAACCGAATTTGTGACTGGATCCAGAATCTGGAACCCTCAACGACGTCAAATAGACTTGACTTTTTTTTAAAAAAAACTGAAAACATGCTTCTAAGTTAAAATGACTTTTCTAAAAGATTTAAAGATAATTTATAAAGATATCCAGAGTTTATAAACTAACAAAATCAATAGCCGAATCTTGAAATGTAATTATTAAAATGATCTCAACGGATTGTAAATAGTTTTAAATCAATAAAATTTTACTATTAAAGAAGAATTTTGGGAGTTAGGTAATTAGATTTTTTTTAAATTAATGATTTTGTTAAAATAAATATTCTTGATGATTTCGGGAATTTCCTCCTTTATATAACTAATTATAATTTTTTTCTATAGATGATATAAGAATAATCATTAAGTATTTAAAAGGTACTTCAACACCAGAATTTTGAAAAACACCAAAAGTTGAAAGATGAAGATACACAAAAATTAGCCATGGCAAGGGAAGCATTAAAAGGTAATTTTTTAACAAAATATATGCAAAAATCTTTATAGCAAATGAGCCAATTATTTTTAAAACACTATTTTAAAAAATTATATTTCTTTTCTTTATTTTCCTCCTATTCTCAAAAAATATTTTTATTTTAACTATTTGACCAGAAACTGGGAATTGATCAAGGCCTAAATTTTGCGTTAATAATTTCTTCAACGTACTTCTTGATCTGTGTTCCGTGATAATACATCGGTACACGAAAGGAATAATGAAGAACTAAAGCCATATACTAATTTTCAGATATAAATAAAATTCTTCATTAGGGAAAAGAAGTTAACAAGTTTAATTAATATTTAGGATTGAAGATCTCGAAGGAAAGCTTAAGAAAGGAGAATGAGATATGAGAGGAAGAGTTTCATATTTTCTAATTTGATGATAAGCCAGTATCAGACACCAGGTCATCAATCATTTTAGGGACCATGATAGTTAGTTAATTAAGAGGACTTGCCAGATTACCATATTCAAGATAAAGTCATTTTCCCCTTGATTTTATTGATAATTTTATATATCTTAGTGCGGAAGAGAGTCGGCTCTAATGGATCACTTTGCTGGAAACCTTTTGAATTGACTGAAAAAAATAAGGGTAGCATGGTAGGCAGCCTAAGAGCCTCCTTTGATTCTAAATTTACGTTGGGGTTTTAGGAGTAAATTGAGGGTTATACTGATTTTACTATTTATGTTGGGGGAATCCAGTAGCCCCTCCACTTTCTGAGCGATGGAAGCAGAATACCCCCCTGAAAAGTACCCCCCTTTTCAAAAAAAATAAAAATTAACCCCTCCTTTAGAAAAAAGGTTTATTATTTTATGACACCCATAAATTTCAAAAATAATTTTTACTGCATCAATTTTGAATATATAATATAAATAAAATGTAAAAAATATATTAAATATTATTTTTAAATAAAAGAATTTATAATTTTATTAATATTTGATTGTTTAAATAATTGCACAGTGCAATTATTAATTAAGCATTTGTATTTTTTTTGGTTAATATTATTTTTGGGCATATTTTGAAATTGGAAAAATAATTTTATGACAAGAAATCTCGGATAACAACCTAATTTGTTAAACATCGGCCAAAATTTATTAAAATGTAATAATAAGACCCCCCCCCCTCCCACCCCCACTTATTATTTAATTTAATATGTATTAATGGAATCAGGTCGAGTCCGATATCATAAAATAAAATTTTTTTTAAATTTTAGAAGCAGTTGCTTCGGATCCCCACCCCGTTGTGGGTCACAGGGGTATAAATAAGGGTGCTTAAAGAGGTATAAAAATTGGACACTTGAAAATATATATGCTCATAATTCGAAAAAAATGTCTTAATTTTAAAGAAAAATTTGATGACGTAAATTTTTTTAAGATTTAAAGAGCGGTATTTATATATTTGGCAATACCATAACTTTTAATAGTTTAATAAAAAATGGCAATTTAGGGGAGGTGGTAGCTTAACCACAGCTCCTCCATCTTAAATAATTAAAATGATCAAGTTAGACGTTTCTGAATTATTTTTTTAGTCCCAAACAAAATAGAAAGGAACCAAGGAGGTCACTCTCGTAGATACCTTTTATTAAAGGTATTAATTTTTTTTTAAAAAAATCTTTACAATAGAGAAAAAAATGAAATATTTTTTTGTGAAGAATTTTTAACAATTATTTTTCAATTTCATAAAAATATTTTGATAAATTTTAATTGAAAAAAAAATTAGCAATAACGAAAATTAACTCAAGTTTTACATCTTCATATGATAAAAACCTTAAGAAATAAAGGTAGATCATCTTATATACAATCATTTTCCTTATGCTCTTTTATATTTTTTCACATAAGAAATGGTTTCAACTGTCAATTTTTTTTATAAAACTGAGAATATAAGGTGACTGATTTCCTAGGTCTTTTAGAAGTGATAAAAGTGAATGCTTAATAGAATAGGTAGTGTTGTTAAACTCAATATTACATCCAGAAAAATATTGCCTAAGCCTAAAGATTTTGTTCATAGAAGGAACAATGGTCTAGACATATATTATCGAAATTTCGAAGCACAGGCAATATTTTTTCTGGATTGAGTTAGCCGTTTTTAAAAATCCGCTAAAAACGAGTCATTAATTTTTCTCATTATTAATTTGATTGGATCTATATATAAAAATAAATATAATAATTTTACTTCATGGTTTGAGAAGATTACTAATTGCCAATTTATATTACATTATGTACAATTATCCGAACAAGTTGGGCATCATCAATAAAATGTAATAAGCAAATACATATATGCAAGAAAGCTCTGAAAGCAGCTGTTAAAGAAGTTGGATATTTGTCCGAGGGAAATTACCAATAATTAAATGATATATTGGATAAAAATTTTAACATTTTAAATTATTCATAAACATTTAACTATCTTATTGACCTTGGCTAACGTAAAAAAGATGCTTAATTTAGAAAACACACATGTCCATGATTTTATAATTTACCAACCTAAAGAAAAAATATTAAAGATACGTTTGAAAAAGAAAACAATCCAAATACATGTGCTTACACTGCGGATCCCCAATATAAGGGGAGTATCTCACTTGAGTTTGATGAAGCATATGACATAATATAAAAATTAGTCGTTTTATAAAGTGATGATCATCAAAATATTTTAAATGATATCATAAATTTCAGAAGTAAAAGCGGCGATATATTTAATAGCCAAAATATGTGGAAACCAGTAACTTACATAAAAAATAATCAGATTTCGGGCTCAAGTTGTTGGAATGGGCTTTGTTCACCTTGAATAAGAGAGGCGTCTAAGAAATTGAAGATCTCGACAACCAGAAGATTGGTAGGAGTATATCATGACCTAAGATTGATTAAAAAAATTTAAAGAGAATGATAAGATTGAATATAAATTAGAACAAGGTTCTGCCATAGAGAGCGAAACATTCATTATAGAAGTTAGAAAAATGTAATTTAATATACTTTTTTTTTTACTAAAATAGAATTAATAATGTCTTAAAAACATTTATATGCATTTGATCATATTGACCGATATGTGACCGGTCAAATGCACAACCCTGGTATCCAAGTTAATAAATAAATTTTTTTTATAAAATATTTAAGCCAAAAAAAACGTCAAAAAGGCAGAATCCCTAAAACATGAGAACGAATTTAACGATCGTAAAAAGATTTTGGAAATTCGTATTGAAGAGGCTAAGATGGAAAATGAACGAATTGCCAAAAATATTCAGATGAAAGAAGAGTATGTTAATAATAATACACACAGTTATAACTAAGGAGATGGTACTAGTTATATTCACAAAAAAATGTATAATAGGTTACGGTCGATATTTTATTTTTAAAGTTGGAATAAACCATTTGCTTTATACTTCATATATCGTCGGCTGAGTTATAATGTTCTTTCTCTTTTTTTAAATATTATATTTTTAAATTTATTGATATTACAAAAGCCAAAATGCTTATAAGCACTAGGTTTCCATCCTTCAAAAGTCAGAATAATCTATTGGATTCATATTCCTTTTCCTATAATGATCTTCACTATTAATTAATTTTTTAAAATTTGTTTTATTGATATTTTTTTTAATCGCCCTATATTAAATAACAACCTCCTGTGTAAATGTAGTGATTTCTCATATTAATTTGGCTCTTTAGCCATCTAACAATTTCAGATGTTCTAAAAATGATTATCTCAACAAAATAGGTACAAATGAAACCAAAAGTTTTGGATTAAATTTTTTGTCTAAGCTAATAATCCATTTTTTTTTCTCCCTCCCCTCGCAAAATAAAATATATAGCAGGATAGTCGAATTACTGACCCGGCGTCTATCTTTACACAAAGAAAGAGCTAAGTTATATAATAGCTTGATGGATAACGTCCTAGATACAATGACTGTATTAGATGATGGTATATCAATGGATGAAGAATTTGATGAAAAGGATGATGTCGAAAATGGACAATTGACACCAAATGAACGAATCAAGATTTATAAAAAGTTATTAAATTTTTTTCATTTTTATTTTCTTATGATTAATTTACAGCTTATATATGTTTAAATATAGAGCCAAATAATACCACTATTATATGCCATCATTACTCTATTACTTATATTAACTCTCCTCTAAAATCCCCTTGACAATAAATTCACTCTATCTCATTTTACGATATATTACATACTCATTTCATAATTAAACTTTTTCCTGAAGAAAAAAATAGTAAAGGCAACATACCCAAATTGCGATTCCCCGTTTTCACAAGCACTTCTGTCATATATTATTAGTAACGTTTGATTAATAATAGTATAATATCCATAATATTTCTTCTTACCAAATCTCAAATAATTAACAGAGTATCAGTATCACATCCGACTAAATACCTTTTTCATCCCTACCACAAATTACCAAAGTATTAAATTGCCCCATATTGTATTATATCCTTTGTCTTATTACGTCCAACTTAAATTTTAACATTAAAAAATAAACTCTGGTAACAAAAAGCTACTATTATTTTCTCAACTCACACCAAATCAATACCCAACTTATTCAATCCTCTAACCTTATATTTTCCTGCCCATCTTTATAGCCTCAGCATTTATATATTACGCTTGTGATTTCTCATTCTTCTTATACCCTATTTTACCTTTATGTCTTCCCAAAAATTTGTATTAACTCGTTAGCATTGGTAAAGTAATGCTCCTCCAATCAACTACCTAACACCCTATATAAAATATACCCAGTATAACGCTTTAATACTCGTTGTCTTTTTATTTATTTACATATAAATTTAAAAGTATATATACACTGAACAAACACATTAATATTTTTCCAACAGTATTGAATCACCTTTTTAGGCTGTCCCCTCTCTTAATAAACATTCATCACTTTATTTTCTAACCATCTATACACGAAATCTAGAAGTCTATGCAATATTTATTGAGACCATTGATCCCCTTACAATAACTAGGCTATTACTTTTCCCTATAAGTCAATATGCCAACGATTAAGAATTTTATAATATAACATAAAATGATAAAAGTAGAAATTAAATAAACTAAATTAAAATTAAATGTTTTAAATCAATATTGGTACTACAACACATAAAAATATAAATTTAGTATATAATTTATAAACTTTATATTGCTTTATTCAACAAAATTTGATTTTTTATATAATTCACAATATGCTAATATTTAAATAATTAATTTGAATATTTATCTTATCATCTTAATATACTGTCAAAATATATTTTCTTAATGTTTAAAAAAAATTAATAATCATAAATTTAATAATACTGTTATTTACTTTTAATATATTTTCTCATTATTTGATGCTTAAAATATAAATTTATAAACATAGGTTAGTCACAAATGACCATAATAAGAGTAAAAAAAAATTGTTATACCACTTTTTGGAAGCCGATTCCATCAATATTGAATTGATATCGGTCGATAACTGATCCTATATCAGATCTTATTTTGTATTCTGTAAACAACTAATCGTTTTTATTTTTAATGCGTACATCTAGTGTTATATCGTTCCATTTGAGTCGATTTAAAAAAGGGCTAACTCACTATTCTATCCAGAAAAATATTACGCAAGCCAGCAGATTTTAATCATAGAGGGCACAAAGGTTTAGACATCTATTACCGAATCAACTATGGCAATATTTTTTGGCTAAAATATTGAGTTAGCCATTTTTAAAATAGGCTCAAGTGAAGCGATTTTGCATCAGCAATACATTTACTCATCTCATATTATAATAGTAATACATCTATGATTTAACTATACCTTAACCTAAGTCATTTAAATATATTATAATGTTATAGTTTATATTCATGAATCTTAAAGTACACTTATTTACATGATAACATTAATTTATTTACATAAGTGACAAATAAATATATTATGAAATTTGGAAATAATTTATAAATATTAAGACACCATTTTATCGGCTCGGAATATTTTATAATAGTGACCGATAACCGATATTTTAAAATTTTCCGATCTGATAAAAAACATCGGTACATACCTAGTTATAAGGAACTTATATTATGTTTTACCTTTATTTATTTTTATGTTAATGTTAAAATAATTTTTTACTTTCTTTTCTTCTTTCTTTAAAATTTTTAATATTATCCTTAAATGCTAAAATTAAGGCAATTCATGTGGGAAGTCAAAAATTGCCCGTGTACAATTGACGAAAATATAGAGGTGTATTTTAATGATAAGACCTATCTATTGACTATATCTCTTAAGTCCGATTCCAGCTATAATATAAATTCTAAGAATATTATGCAATCTCAAATTCCTATAAAGGATATTACTTGGCAAAAAATTCCTTCTGATGGTAATTTCTATTAATTTATTACATAAATTTTTTTTAAAAATAAGTTTTTAAACTTTTATAATTCTGTATCTTAAAATATTTTTTTTGCAGAGGTGCACTTGCATCAACTTTTAAGCCTGAAATATTTATTTTTCTAAAAGACACAAAAGAAAAATTAATATAAGTGCGTTGTTTGCCAATCACATTTTCTTATGATTCAGGCCTTGTCTCGATTCCATCTTGTTCTAACTTCTTTTTCTTTTCTGATAAAATATTTATGCCTTAGGGATTATAAATAAAAAATTAGATTATACATGTTATTTTTAATACATACTCATTTAGGACTATTAAAAAAATGCATGCCAACCACATTTAAATTACATCTAGCGAGCACCCTATTGTTATGAAAAACGACTGAGTCGATTTTTAGAAACGGCTAACTCAATATTTTAGCCCGAAAACGATTGCTTAAACCTAGGGCCCAAACCTTTGTGATTTCCTTTCTTTCTTTCAGGCTTGCATAATATTTTTCTGGGTAGAATGCCACTTGATAAAATTATTTGATATCAGTGAAACAGTGCGCCCCTGTATTTTACATATGAACATATTTAAAATTTCATTACCATTGTCATTGAATCATTTTAAAAAAAAATTATATCTTAATTAGACAAACTTATGGCGTTCAATCTTAATATTTTTGATTAGAAGATTTTTCTTTAATTTTTTATTTTTATAGATCAACTCACAGTACTCGAAAAATTTATAGACAAATATGGAAAACTCTCATTTTCAGCACTAAACCTCGCAACTCGTTTTCCCGATACAAGTTTCATTCCTAGCGTAAATATAGATATTTATATGAATTTATTCTGTATTTTAAGTTTTTATTGCCCCCCCCCCCCGTAAATTTTTAGAATTATAAATATATAAAAACATTTACAAAATTTAATTATTTATAAAATATTTAAATTGTCGTCAACAGTTCAAATACCCTTGATAAAAACTTAAAAAATATTTAGTTATTAGATTATAATTTCAAAGAATCGCGCTAAAAATAAATAAATTCTAAAAGATATTAACTATTTTATATCTATATTTATATAGTATATAAAATTTAATTATTTATACTTTATATATCTATTATAATAATTTAATAAGTTAAAATAAATTAATATACTTATAGTTTTATTACATAAAGTAATATATATTGCAATCAAGTGAATTTGAGGATTTTGAAAATGATATACTTTTTGGACACATTTTACATCTGGCAAGGATAGAATTAGTTCTGTAAAATATTTTATAATTGGACCATGTTACTGTTAATTCATCTGATTCTGAATTTGATGATGAATAACAATATCCATGCTTATGATAATCTGTAAAATAAATATTCAGATTAATAACTATACTATTGGAGAGAAATAGTGACCGGTCAAGTAAAATATAAATAATATTATTCAAATTCATAACTATTATAGGACAGAAATAGTGACGGATTAAAAAAAAATCAGTGATAAAAAAAACTGCCAATTAAAATATAACTTTTTTTAAAAAAAAATCGGATTAAAATTTTTTTAAAATAATTGCCTTAGCACTTTCATAAAAAATGATCTAAATCTCTACCAAAACCATACATTAAAAATTCCCCATATATTATTTTCCGATTTACATCATATATTTTTTTTTCTCCTAAGATATTATCGGGTACGCAAGTTCTTGCCTCTAAATTAAAACATCTTCAAAAAGAATTACAGTTTTGCTCTTCCAAAAAATGTACCCTTTATATTCTTCCTCAAGTATCAAATGATGCAATAAATACATCCACTAATGAAAAAGAAGTGGACCAACAATCCATAAAGTTTATTCACTATATATTTAAGTGTTTTTTTTGGGTCATTTCGAACGTTCTGACTGGATATTAAAAAATTGCTAATACATTTCTACCTGATTGCTTAGTTTGTTAAGAAATGCCAATTTTGTTTGAAAGGGATATAAGATGCACATTTCATTTATTTTTTCAACTTAATTGCTTAGATTTGAAGTGGGCGTGTTTATCTTTCAGCCATTTTCTCGTTACAAAATTCAAATCGAGCTTTTATCAAATTCCTACCTTGAAGACAAGCTTACATTTCACCTTAAGAGACTATATGGACAAGATCAGTAAAATTTTATATTTCACATAATAAATAATATTTTACTCAAAAAAATTAAATTGCATATTCTTTTTTTCCACACAAATATTGATTAATTTACTTTACATTTATATATATAATTTTCATATAAACCTTCAGTGATATACTGAGGCATAGCAACCAGAGTTGTTATATCTAGATTATAGATATAAAAATTGTTAGAAACATTTTTAAAAGTATTTGTATCTATTTATAGATACATTTCTTTCCGATTCAAGACACTTTTTATCTTACACAAATATATATTATAATTATTTAAAGATTACTATTATATATGATACTGATGAAAAAACAATCAACCCAGCATCAGTAAGTTTTTTAAACTTGATTGCAGATGGCTTAAAATGTTAAAAAATTTATAGAAAAGAAGAAACTAATGAGCGATAATCTACTTTCAAGGTTTCCAGATGTAATCGCACAAAAATTTGGATTTAATATTATATTTATCGGCACTCCAAGGAAGATATGGATAAAGATTTAAATTTAACATCCAACAAACTGAATGATTATTTTTAAAATGAGTAGCGATTTTATTTAGACAAAGGATTATTCATTAAGTTATAAAGTATACCTTTCGATGCACCAGTTGAAAGACTTAAAATGTGTTGAAACTATGAGCCCTTAGTTAGGGTAATATTTTATAATCATTTTAATAATGAATATAAAATGTTTTCAATTTTGGCATCATGTATACATTAAATGATTATTATAAAAATGTATATTACTTGGGAAAATTATAGATATATCTTAATACATTTTAGGCTATATAACTTTATCTAGAAACATCTGAAAAGTAACTCTGATAGCAACACCGCAGAGATTTTAAAATTATTTCTAAAAAAATCACGATATTTTGACTAGCTTTTTTTAAAGTTTCCTATTTGCATTTTTATCGAACTATGTTAAAACTATTAAAAAGAAATTTGTAGGAATTTTTTTAAAAAAAATTGTTTATTATTTGTAAACAAGTTTTTATCGGATATTTATTTTTATAGTAAAAATATGAATTATTTAAGATAATTTTGCTTTTTATTTTCCATATTTTATGCAAAAATACTTATAAAATTTTTATTTTAGTATAAAATGTTTAAAATTTATATTTATAATATTTAAAGTAACATAATAGCAAAGCTTTATAGAAATTTGAACGAGACAACCGTTTTAAAATACGGATAAGATATGTCCCTTTCAATTACTCGCGTTTTTTCTACATCCTTGACTAATCATATTTTCGAATATATTTTTTAGGGAGGAGTATATAAGAAGACATCTTGAATCAATATCACCTGAAAAAGGATATCTAGAAAAATGTCTCAATATTTTTACAGATATAGCATAGATATAGAATTGTGATTATTTATATATTTGTGTAAAAATTTATAAATATGTATATTATCTAGAAATAAATATAACATCAATTTTTTTTAAAAAAACACATAAGAAACGAACAAATTTAGGATTTTATTATTTCTACTAAACTAAGAATACTATAATCAATTATATATTTATTTTAAGTAGAGCAAGTTAAAGGATGCATGAAAAATCTCGTGCCATCTTGTCAGGGAATGATTTTCTACAATATTCGATTTGGAAGAGGAAAATACTCAATCTCATTTAATGTCTGTTTGTATATTAAATGATATTACACTCACTCATGGCAAAATCTAATATTTTTGAAATTTTATAAAATAAATATTAAAAAACGTAAAATAATTATACCAAAATGTATCTAGATATCTATATATAAATACATTTTATAAAAACACATTTTTGTATCTAGATACTTTAACAATTCTGCCAAACACAATTACCAATTTTATAAAAATGAAACATAAACTAAAAACATATTTTATTTATAAAAACAATATTATAAGATTTTTTTAGTCTCCATTTCCATAAAAAAATATTTCATTATTAATTGCATTTTAATGTCAAAAACAAATTTGTTTAAAAAATATATAAACCTTTAAAAAAGGAATAATAATAAATTCCTAGACTTATACTAAGTGAATTTTTGTCTTAAAAAATGAATAAAATTTTTAAACCTTAGTCAAGCAATAAACTTCGAAAACATATGTAAGGCAACTCTGTTCATAACATAATTTTGGCTTAATTCTATTTTAAAATTTGGCTTATCATAATACAAAATTTGCATTACTTTAAAGCGAAATGGAAGATAGCTAGTACACAGTGGGATATGATAATTTCCGTTACCTATGCCAAAAATCCTTTATAGAACATCAGATAATTTGTTATGCAGATTATAATAATATGAGTAGATTTTAATAATTTTTATATTCCTTATATTCTAAGCTATCAAATATAAGTTATTGGATTTATTTTTTATGCTTACTTATTAGGGCTGTGCCGATATTAAATAATCCGCCCCGATATTTCGCGTTTTCTAAAAAATATCGGATCGGGCCGATACCTGTAAAACGATCCGATCTTTTTACTTTTCTTATTTTATATATATTTATTTTACATTAATAATATTTTCTAAATAATTTTTTTTAAACAATACAAATGCGCAACACCCCTTAAATTTTATTTATTTTTTAAAATAGATTTATAGTATTTTAAAAGTTTTTTTTATAAAAATAAAAGGAACACCCAAAGTTTTATTTATTTTAAATCTTTTTAAATAATAACGCCAATTTTATTATTTATACTTTAAATAAAATAATTTTTTAAAATTATGTTATCTGGATTATGAAAATATTTTACAAAATGCGTTATCTGCGGAATTCTAATTTCACGGGGAGGAATAATGAAAAATTCATTTAATACTACCAATATCCGTAAACTTTTTTTAATTATTGTAGAAATAAAATTAAATTAATAGCATAATTCGAATTTTGCATAAAAAATATTCATTTCTTAATTATATTTGGTTCAAAGGGGGGTGGGGAAAAATCAAAATAAATATCGGATCGGATTAGTGAAAAATATTGGATCGGCACGGCCCTATTACTTACCTAGAAGTCAAGCAATAACGATATATATAATAAACATCTACTTAGGATTAAGTAACTATGAGTAAAAAGTTATAATGTTTTTTCTGATAAGACCCGTCAATAAGTAATTCTGAGTTAATAATGAATATTCAATATAATAATGAAATTATTTTAAATGTGTTACCTTGAGAATTTATTTAGTGTCGTTAAACGGCTCGACCAATTTGGGCCGTTTTTTAAAAACCGCTAACAGCGCAATAGTTTTATCATCTATTAGCGAAATCTCGAAGCTTGGGCAATATTTATCTGGCTATAATAATGAGTCAGCCTTTTTACACTAGTTTGGGCCTCTATATTTACTTCCAATATTTATTGCCTTGTGACTTTATCTCTAAGTCATTTGATAACTCGACACTTTATCACGTTATTTTATTGACTTATTTATTTTTTTTTAAATTATATTTTTCATTTTTATCTCTAAATTTTTTATTAAATTTTAAAAAAAATTAAAAATAGCAATATAAAAAACTATTTTGAAAATTAAGAATGCTAATATGGTGTAATAATTAAAAAGATATCAATACAAAATTTCTTTATTTTAAATTTATTTATTATAAAATATAATAACTGAATATTAACCTAATAAATTTATGTATATACTTTTCAAAAGTAAATAACAATCAATGTAACTATTAGATTAATATTATGTTAGGTGAAAGAAATAATATAACAAGTCCGTAAGGTAAAATATAATTTAATATAATTCAAATATATCAACAAAGAAAAATATGATATAAAATGTATTAAATATAAAAATATTATAGAGGCATAAATCCGCGAATGGATATGCAATTGTATCTTTCCCTAAAGTTTTAGGAAAAGCTATTTCCATGCTAAAGTTACCTATAGTATAAGTACAAAATGTAAAATTCGAAGTTTTGACTGACATAATTAACAAAATATGTTGATTTGATTAAGCTGAATACACAAGGATGATAAACGTAAATATATAAATTTTATAGATATAATTCAAATTTTAAGAGGTAAAGTGGAAGATATTGGTAGATTTTAAACAGGCACCGATTAAAATAAAGTGTTTGGTGACTAAAAGAAGTCTAAGTCTTTTATCGGCCTTTGCATATCTTCCAGATGATGATCTGGAAATGTAATTGAAGTCTTGGCAAAATATTTGTAGAAATTAATGGCTACTTTTTATTTCCTATTGAGAAGACCTACTGTACTATAGTAATTATTATATTTTCTGTTATAAATTTTAGAGCAACTAAATAATTTTGCAGCTCCCCTATGATGTATAGTTGTGAAATAAACAATTATACGTTAAATGGTGTCACCAGAGCAACAAATTGTGCCGAAGGCTGGCAATATGAGATTTAACTTCTATGACAATGTTTCACCTGACGTTTTTGAAATTTTAAAAGGGGGTCATAAACATATGCACAAATATAAGGTCCTGTATCTTCAAATCGTAATTCCTAAACAGCGTTATCTCTCAGAGAAATATGAAGATAATAAAAAACGAGTTCAATGATGTGTTTTAAAATATAGAATTTCGATATTTTTATTTATATGTTGATTTATGATTACTTTTTAATAAAGAGTAGATTAAATTCTTTATTGATTATGTTGTAAAATAGTTGATAATTAATTAGTAAGAAATATTAGTTTTTTTTAGATATGGAAGTTTAACGAAAAAGTCCAACAATCAGATATTGCCAAAATGTAATTTTCAAATATATTAAATTCAGTTTAAGTGTATCATGATAAAGTGTCGCATTATAAAATGATTGAATAATTAAGTGTAGATGTGATAACGTGTCACGTGGTAAAGTGTCTCCAAACCAATATTTATTTTGGGTAAAGGAAAAATAAACAATATTTGGGCAAAGCAAAATGTTTGATTTTATTCTGAATTAAACATAAAGTCAAAGTTTTTACCATAAAAACGGGTTTTCTTCATCAAAATTTCTATATTTATTTATTTCTAAAAAAAACAAACTTATGATTATTTTTTAATTTCTCGAGTTCATAATTAGTGTTCACGACTTGAGCTGTGAACTAAGTTAGTTGACTACCGACTCTGCAGTCTAATGAACTCGACTAAATAACACTATTGCTGTTAGAAATGTGGAAAAGAAATAATATTTTAAATATGAATTAAGATAATAACTAAAATAAATTTAAATATTAATTAGAATAGCAATGATATAATATTAGAATATCGCATGACCTCTTTATAAAATATATAATAATTTTTATTTCGTTATATTTTACTTTTTGTATTCAAATTAAGGATGTTAAAATTAGTATATACCCGGGCCGGGCCTGAAATTTTTTTTTTAAAAAAACCCGGGTCGGGCTGGGCCTGAAATTTTTTTTTTTTAAATACCTGGGCCGAGCTTTATTTTTTAAAAAAATTTATACAACATGAATTATTATATTCGTCAATTAGATATGATTATATATAGGTATGATTAATATAATGTTTGGTGAAAGTTAACACTAGCTAACACTCATAGTATCTATTACATAATATAATTATAGTTCTCCTGCCATTGAATAAATACGCAAAGGATTAAATACATTATTATATAATATATGTTATATTTTTTATTAATATACAATTAATATAGTATATTCTCAAAATATTATTTACACAAATTTTTTTATAGTATCAATTTGTAATATACTAAATATCTGTTTAGAATAAAAAATAAAAAAATTTTAGTAGTGTTGTTAAACCGCTAGTTTTGAGCCGATTTTTAAAAACGGCTAACTAAGTTTTTTATCCAGAAAAATATGCAATGAAAATTTTGCTCATAAAAGGAGCAAAGGTCTAGACATTTAATATCTAAATTTCGAGGCTTAGTTAATTTTTCTGGCTAAAATATTGAATTAGCCGTTTTTAAAAATCGGCTCAAAACGAGCCGTTTAACAACATTAGCTAATATACTTGCTTATTAAATGATAATTTTGGCCGAAAATATGATAAAATACCAAATAGATGAATTTTTTGTATAACACGTCGAATATTATTTTAAAAAATTACGAAAATTTTATTAAAAAATCCAGGCCGGGTACCCCAAAATTTTTTTTTTAATATCCGGGCCGGGCCTAAAATTTTTAAATCCGGGTCGGGCCGTGCAAATGGTACCTCTGCAGGCCTCTGCTATATATATTGTGTTAAAAATGTAATATAATAATATTATACATATACATTTTTTTCAAAATAGATAATGAATTATAGTAATTAAATTGAAAATTAATAAATTAAATATGATTAATATTTTCTTCATATTTGTGATGCGTTATCTAAATATAAAAATGTAGTTTCTGGATACACTTTTATAAAAAGAATCACATA